CCTCCCTCCCTCCCTCCCTCCCTCCCTCCCTCACTCCCTTCTCCTCCTACTTATGCTTTGTCTCCTTCTTTTGCTCCTCCTCCTTCGTCTGCTTCTTATTTTCCTTCTGCTCCTCCTCTTCCTCCTCGCTGTCTGTTCTCATCGTTCTCGTCGTCATCTCCTCTGTGTTCGTGACTGTGTTCATCCGGTCTGCTGTCTTTTTTTATGCTGAAGAGTCTGTGTCATATTTCTCTCCCCCAGCACTTTATGAGTGTTTCAGTGAGTGCTGAGTCTTTCGGCCAACTGAGTTGAGTTATTCATGTGGTACGGTATGCTGTTGTTATGTTTGTGTTTTTCTTTTGTTCGTTCTTTTTGCAAGGAATTTGAGCAATAGCGAGATGACAGAATCCAGATTGCACAATCACATTAAAAGCCAGAAAGTTGCACACTGTCCAGAAAGCAGAATTGCACCAATATTACACCAAAGGAGAACCGGAACACCGAATCCGAGTGTCAATGAGAGCTTTCTCTCGCCATCAACCACATACGTATCCAGAGCCCTTCCCCCTACTTGGCGCTCAACGCCCAGACTGCTATCCTACAGCTACTTCCAGCCTACGAATTGACAATGCAACTGTTGACGTCAGCAGCCCCCTACTTGTGTTGCACCGTGGTCCGCGCTAGCAGCAGCCCGTGAGCGCTCGCTCCAGCACCGCTGCCACAAACTAGCAAGTGCCCGAATGACTCCCCAGGCTGCGAGCACTTTCCTATATGGAAAGAGCTTGGGCTGGCTGGGCTGGGCCTGCGCCCAGAAGCTTCCAGTAGGCCCCGGGTAGCTGGGCCTTTGCTGTTACTGCCCTGGGCCCTGGTTGGTTATGCCTCTCAACTGCCTGTCGTGTATACTACTGCAGATGGGGCCCAGGGCCTGCTTCAAAGAAAGGCCGAGAAGGCCAAAACAGAGTGTGGATGGCCGTGGACTGGGTTCCTCCAACCAACTGACGCGATGCAACTGCGTGAACCCCAAATGCGAAATTGACAACAATGGGCCCCTCGTGATTTTCTCAGGCCCGACTTCACTTAGGGCGGGCACATGCCAAAAATGGGCCCCTTAGGCCTGGCGAGGAGCCAAATCTTCGCATTCCCTCCTCCTTTACTTGGATAGTCCCCTGAAACGTTCTTCAATTTGCAGGCATTTTCCCCTTAAGTCTTCTTTCATATCCTGCAATCACTTGGGGAGCTGTCTGCTGCAGTTCCTCTTTGGTAAACCACCGATCTTCGTCAGGATCAGTATGATGTCTGAATCTGACCCGGTACTGCATCCTTGGCTTTGGAGGTCGGCCTCTGCCGGGAGGCTTAGGTATAGGCATCACTCTGTGCTCCACAATGTCATTAATGTGGACTTCGCCGTCCATGGTTGGGGGCAGCATTGATCGTCTGGAAGGAAACTGGGCAGTTTCTGTGAAAGGTGCTAATTTGAGGCGTGAAAGACTGGGTGTGTGCGCAGGTGAGTGGGGATGTGAATCACATAGGAGGGTCCATCTATTTGATCCCCAACTATATCTAGGACCTCCGAGGGACCAAAATACTGAGGCATTAGTTTACGTGAGATTCTCAACTCCTGACCCAGTTCAGATGATTTCACCCACACTCACTCTCCTACCTGAAATTGAGATGGCCGTCTGTGTCTGTTCTGTGCGCAGGTGAGCGGGGATGCGAATCACATAGGAGGGTCCAACTATTTATCTAGGACCTCCCAGGGACCAAAATACTGAGGCATTAGTTTACGTGAGATTCCTAACTCCTGACCCAGTTCAGATGATTTCACCCACACTCATTCTCCTACCTGAAATTGAGATGGCCGTCTGTGTCTGTTCTCATATGCAACCATGGCATTTTGAGCTCTCTAATATGTTTTACGGCCTGTTGTAGCATCTGTTCATACTTGACAGCAAACTCTATGCTGCCGGGTGCTGCAGATGGCTGATTCTCATGCAGTAGGAGATCAAGGGTGGATCTGGGCTTCCAACCAAGATGCAGTTGGTTGGGAGTCATGCCAGTAGTGTTGTGCACAACGTTGTTGTACAGGCTGGCGACGAGAGGCAATTTCTCGTCCCAGTCATCCTGACTTGGCTTGATGTAATGTCGTAGTAGGTGCTGCACTACTCAGTTTATCTGTTCTGCCTGGCCATTTGACTCATTGTGGTTCCATGATGTCATTTGCAGTTGGGTGCCCATTTGTTGAGCCATATTTTGCCACAGTTCGCAGGTGAAGCGGACGTCCATGTCACTAATGATGGAGTTGAGCAACCCAAAGTCCAATACTCAGTTATCCATGAACACTTGATGACATAGTCAGTTTTCGCTGTTTCTGGCATGGCGATCAGTGTAGCGTACTTGGTAAATCGGTCCACTATGACAAAGATGTGTCTTTTACCATTCTTGCTGGTCACAAGGGTATCCATGAAGTCCATGGACACACTTTGACCGGGACCTTCAGGGATATGCAAGGGCTTGATGAGCCCAAGCGGAGCCTGAGTCCTTGGTTTGTCCCATCGGCAAACCTGGCAAGTCTCAACATACTTTTTGCATCTTGCATCATAGAGGGCCACCAGAATTTATGCACTAGGTTAGCTGATGTCTTCTTATAACCAAAATGACCGGTTGCATCATGACATTCTCCTAAAAACAAACTACGCAAAGACTCCCTATCTGGCACACAGTCTCTTATTCCCAGCCTTCTCAAGGAACAACAAGCCATTGACTACTGTGAATTCGTTAGAAGTGACTTTGTCTTTACCTTCTAACTTACAAATGATCTCTGACATAATTGTATCTTCCCGATAGGCTTCCACCAAGGATTGAGTTACATCATCAGATATGCCAAACTCAGTTATTAGTGCGCCTAGATAGTCTGCCCTCCGCGATAATGCATCAGCCACTTTATTGTGCTCTCCTTTCAGAGGGTCGAGCTTGAAGTCATACATATCTATGACTTCAATCCACCTNTGCCCTCCGCGATAATGCATCAGCCACTTTATTGTGCTCTCCTTTCAGAGGGTCGAGCTTGAAGTCATACATATCTATGACTTCAATCCACCTCTTCAAGGCATCAGAGAGCAGATGTTGTTTCTTGATCCAGCGCAATGTCTCATGGTCAGATCTCACATAGAAGAATTTGCCCAGGAGGTAGTGCCTCCAATGGACCAGGGCTTTATATAGGGCATAAAGCTCTCGCTCGTACGTGGACTTAGCTAACTTCTAGGATGGCATCTTTTTGCTCATGTACTCGATTGATGTCAACTTTTTCCCCTCCTTCTGTGCAAGGACCACGCCTATGCCATATTGGTTGGCGTCTGTGGTCACAACAAATGGTTGCTGAGGATTTGGAAGTTTAAGGACTTCGCAGTGTGTTAGAGCATACTTCAATTTCTTAAAGGCTGCCTCACACTATTCGGTCCACTCCCAAGGGGTGTCAAGGCGGGTAGGTTTGTTAATGGTGAAGCTGTAGTACTATAGTTCTTCACAAACGGACGATTGTAGCCTGTTATCCCCCAAAACGACCGGACCTCAGTAAAAGTCTGAGGTCTAGGCCAATCACGTATGCTGGCCACTTTGGCATCGTCTAGCCTCGATCCTTCGCGGGAAATCACATGACCTAGGTATAAGATCTTGGTGTGACCGAATTTGCATGTCGCCAAGTTTACCTTATATTGGTGTTGTCTTAGGAGACCTAGCGCTATTTTCAAGTATTCGGTGTGCTCCTCTACAGTCCTATTGAAGATTAGGGCCCTAGTTCTCTTTGTCCTGAAGAAAGGGGGGACCCTAAGGATGTGCATTGACTATAGAGGCCTCAACGCCACCACAATTAAGAACGCAGAGCCTCTACCCCGCATCGATCACCTCCTGGATAGAGTGCAGGGATGTCGGTACTTCACAAAGATACATTTGGAGTCCGGATACCATCAGATTGCCATTAGACCTGAGGATCAACACAAAACCGATTTTCAGACCAGGTACGGTCTGTACGAGTTTGTGGTGATGCCTTTTGGACTACGCAGTGCTCCTAGTACTTTTTTTTTTTTTTTTTTTTTCAGCATGATATTCCATGACTACCTAGATAAGTTTATCTAGAGGCCTATAGATCCGTCCTCTAGGTACTTCATTACCCGGGACGATCTCTATCGCATGGACCACCTCCCTTTCTGCCACACCCCTAGGCTCCTCAAAAAGGTCTGGATAACTTGCAACGACTGCTTCTATCTCTAGGGGTGTTTTTACGACCTCCCCTTTCTCAAAGACAAAGACTAGGTACACCCCCTCCTCTCGGTTTTGCTTATAATAGTTATAGAAGGATGAAGCACACATGCAGCCATAGTTCTCCACTAGCCTGCTAGCTTTATACTTCTGCAGTCTAACGGTCCTTCCGTTCGGCAGCTTCTGAATCATCACCTTTCTATCCCAATCAAATTGAGGTTGTGGAGCCTCGAGGTAGTACATGCCTAGTAACATGTGGAATGGCAGCTCGTCACTGACTAGGAATGAGATTGTATGTCTCAATTCCCCTCCTCCATAGGAGAAGGTGCAGACTACATCCTTGACATAGTCTTGTACAACAATGCGGTGCTTGTTGGCGAGCGTTGATGCTACATATCTGCTGAGCCGCTGCACTTGGTTCCCTAAGCGCAACCTATCCCCACAAGACCGACTGATGAAGTTCCGTGTAGAGCTTATGTCTGTGAAGGCACCCACTTTGCGGCCACGTACATCAACCTCTACCACAAAATGTTCACCTTTAGGACCTCTACTAATCATCGCCCAAGAGTCTCTGGAGTCCTTCCCTGACCACTCAGCTTCTAACTCCTCTAAGGACTCAGACACGTCTCTCGAAGAAAGCATCGATTGGTCTACATGTGTCTGCGGGGCGATGAGTCGGTCAATAGCCTTGGCCAACACCTGAAGTGGGGAAGGCAATGCTACCACTTCAACATGGGTAAGAGCGGCTAAAACTCCTACTGGCCCGAGGTGTTTCCAAAGAGCTCGCAGATGCACCAGTCAAGTTCGAAGATAAGCCCACCACCGTAGGGGAGGCTACCTTCGTTGTGACCTTGTTGCCTCGGCAAGTCCTAGATGTGCGGCCAAAATTGCCACAGTTAAGACACGTGCCCCTAGCAACTCGGTTCATCCACACCTCGTAGTCTAAGCCAAGTCGCACCCAGACTGGTGTTCCTTGGTCGCCTTTGACCCTTAGACCGGCCTACCTTTTGTTTCCCGGTCCCCTTAGCCTTTTCTTTGATGGGTGTCACGACTCCCCCATCTGAAATCTCACTAGCCCCATCCTGCTCTGTGTCTTCCCCATAGTTAGGGAAGTCGCCAGTCTCAGTTGCCTGACCATCGTGGTCGACGAACTTAAGATTGCTCTTCTTCCTCCAATCCTAGGGAAGC